CACCCCGTATTCTAATGTCAATAAAAAAAAGAAAAAAATATCGATAATATCGAGTTAAAACGGTCGATATATCGGATATCGATATTTTCCTGACTTCGATATATATATCGATATTTCAAAAGACTGCATCCCTAACAGCTCAGCCGTACGGACAGTTGTCTTGCTCGCTTGATTAAATGTTTATATACAGACGTGCGCGTGTGTGAGTTGCTTATGTAGTTGAGTCGGATCATCTACTATATAAAAATAAGTCGGGTTTTCCTTCCTGACGCTATAACTCCAGAACGCACGAACCGATTTCCACGGTTTTGCATTCGTTGGAAAGGTCTCGGGCTCCGTGAGGTTTATAGCAAAGAAAATTCAGGAAAAATTAAAAAAAAAAAAACTTCTTTTAATCACCAAACGAAATGTTACATAAAACGAAGCCATCTGGTGGCGAAACGGAGTTCGCCGGGTTTGCTAGTATTTTATATTTTGATGCTAGTATGAAGGGAACACACCATATATACATAGTATCGCTGCTCTTGGTTTCTGTTTATGAACATTGTCAGCTCATCAGTCACGAAATACTGTTTTGTAATATCGAGGTTAAGCTGGTGCTTTTCTGTTACCGTGGTAAGCAATTATATGTACTATCGAACAAATTGATTCATGACCCACTTGCCCGATGATTTGCTTAAAAATTTCAATACAGACCAGATTTTTACGAAAGGAATGCGTATTTGCACTTATCCCCTCTTGGACCCCATTAGGACCTTCTAATTACAAGGAAACTGTATGGGTATGGATCAAAAAGTTTTTAAAATTTAACCTTTGTTTAGATGCAATCGAATGAAACTTTTATTCCAATTTTATGTATTAGGATCGGTTTTGAGCACAATGCCTAAAATGCAAGATGCCACTGTTCCAAAAAAATGCCTAAGGTGCTGTCCGACGGCCTGCGTTAGCGCGGGCGCGGCCCGCGCGTTTGAGATTTGGCAGTCTCTATACATGATACGAGCCAAATAGAAATCTCGTACACTGTGATGGCATCATGAAGCTGTACTTACTGAGTCGATCCTTTGTGGACTGGACATTTATTTACTATCTGATAATATGTTTGGTTTGTGTACATGACACATACAGTCAACCTTGTTCAAACCCCATATCAAAGTATATAAGATTACTATTTACCTCGTATCATGTATGGAGACTGCTAAATCTCAAACGTTAGAGTTCAGATTTATGTTAGGCAACCCTACGCGGGGCGGCCGGCCTCGCCCGCGACAACACACGCCGTCTGACCGCACCTTAACACGTCAATAGACCTACCGATGAATGCCTAGACATTGTAATTGCCTAAATGTTATTTCGTCTACAAATCGAAATGCCCAAAATTTTGTTTGGAAACTTGTTGTAAAGGGTTGTTGTAAAATTTTAAGATATGTATATTATATATAGGTATGTATAAATTTTGTCCATACGCTTAGTTTTCAGTTTGTAAAAATATTTAATTTTTAAGGAGTGTTTAAGGGAGTTTTTTTTTTAAGGAATAGAAGATTTATTTAAAGTTTTAAGAATACAGTTTTTGATATTATTTATTAATATTTCAAGATTTCAAGTTGACAGTTGACAGCAAACATAGTTACGATACATTGCAATTTGCTTCTTAGTCAATTAGCGTTTTAGGTATTAATGCAGTAGGGGTAAATTATGCATTTTATAATCTAGGTAGTCTGCTTTAACGTCAAAAGGACTTGTTCGGTATTCTTGTAGCAGTGGCATCTTGCATTTCAGGCACTGTGCTCATATCTGATTAGGATTAATAGAAAAAAATGGCATAATACATAGTTTGATTACAAAATTTAATCTAAATCACTTCAGCGGTTTAAACCTGAAGAAGTAACAGATACACACTAACGCATTTATTATATTAGTATGGATACTTCGATGACAGGTAAAAAGGGTGAAGAAATAGAGAAATCCTGATATACCTAGGTAATTGTTAGATCTCTTGTTAGGTTAAATCAAATGCAAGTTTCACTTGATTTACAAATTACCTATATAATCGTAACGTAGGTAACTTTGATTCGTGATATGGTATTCCCAAACCAGCCCCTCTAGCATGGACACCACGATATGATAATAGGTAGTTTTAATCACGCTCAATTGTCAAAGTAGGTATAAGTGCGATTCAAATAAGAATAGGAAAGCCAATGACCTCCATCTGTCAAATGTCGCTTGAACAGTACGGTTTGCAAAAAAATCTTAGAACCAAATATTTGTAAACAAACAATAACAAATATTGATAATTAATATTGGTTGATATTTTTTCATTTATTGAGCTTTGGCTTTCATAGCCTTAATCGTCGTCGTCGTAATAGGTTGATAACCTTAATCGTCAACCAAATGTCAGTAAGTTTAAGTTGCGTTCAGAAACTCGATTTATAACTTTAGTCCAGGAAATGAAGCTAAAACAATGGTAAAACCTGGCAATTTTTTCGTCCAGCACCGATTTGTACAAAAATTTGGGATTAGAGGCTCATTTCACCCTCTAGTTCATTTCTATATTGTGTCGTTGTATGCTTTTTGTTTTTTATGGGTAAAAACTACCCCTTCCTTATTATAAAAAAAATTAAATTAAATTAAAAACAAATATGGGTAAAAATACTTAAAAAATGATTGTTTCATGCTTTAGGATACAATTTCATAATCTTTCAACCTACCCTTGTTAAAAACTACCCTTAAAAACATTGAAATTTTATTTGCGAAAAAAAATGGAACGGTTTTTAAGCATAGCTCCTTCATTTAGGTGATAGAATTTTTTTTTTCAGAAACATTTAAAAATTTGAAGAGCACTTCAGGAGCTATAAGAACTATGTAAATTACTTAAGATCCCTTAATTTTTAAATGGGGAGGGTTTAAAGCGCTTGAATAAGGTTATGTTCGATCGTAAATGTAGGTGTTAAACGGCTATATCTCGCCGAATATTCACTGTACAAAAAATATGCACACAAGAAATTTTTGTCATTAAAAAAGCTACAATTTATTACTATATCGTTTTTTCGTAACAATAATATTTTGGAAGATATTGTTAAAAAAATGGTGAAAAACACGAAATTGAAAAAATCTGTTTTCTCTTTAAACTCCAATATTTCTAAAATTTGGCACTTCAAATTGGTCAAACTTCGTGGGTGTATTAATAGTACATATATAAAGAGGAGGTCGATGGCGCAAGTGGTTAGCGCGTTCGGCTGCGATCGTTGAAGTTAAGCAACTTTCGCAGTGGTCGGTCATTGGATGGGTGACCAAAAAAAATTTACTATCTCGAGCTCCTCCGTGCTTCAGAAGGCACGTTAAGCCGTTGGTCCCGGCTGCATCTGCAGTCGTTAGCACCCACCAATCCGCACTGGGCCCGCGTGGTGGGTCATGGCCCAATCTCCCTAATCCATCCAAAAAAAATTTCTCGTTATTTCGCTCTGCAAATCTTCCAATTTATGCATTTGACGAAAAAAGCATGAATTTGCTAATCTTAGTTCATATTTGTCGTAGAAAAATTATAAAAAACGCATTGTTTTCGTTTTTTTAAAAGCTACAATTTGACTCTACACTTTTTTTGATAAAATGCATATTTATAGAGTTAATTCGCAATAAAACCATTTAAAAAAATTTTTTCGTCAAAAATCTGTTACTTTCAACTTTGAATAACTCAAAAAATATTAGTTTTACGAAAACAACGTATATAACTTTTTTCTTAGAATAACTTTTTCCGTCGATACAGTTAAAATGTAATAAAAAAATCCACCCCCTCCAAAAATCCATCCAGAGATGGGGTGGCAACCACCTCCAAGGCTCTAGCGTACAGCGGCATGATATAGAAAATGAACCTTGAGTGAAAATTTCAAGTAAATCCATGGTGGACGAAAAAATTGCGAGCCAAAACGCTTCATTTCCTGGACTACTTTCGTTTACTTAAAGGATGCATGTTCGTATGTGACCTAGTAATAGTGCATGATTATTCATAACTACTTCGGCGGTAATGCAGAGATGAGCGGAATTGAAGGGCTAGATTCTGATTTATGTTTTTTCTCACTGTCTTAATAAATAAATATTTTATTATTAAAAATTGGTTGCTTTTTTTCCTGAAACTAAGTAAAAAAAATCGGATGATTTTTCTCACTTAATCTAAGTAAATTAGTTTTATTAATAAAGACTTTTTTGCTCACTACCTATTTTGTTTGAATTGACAGCTATGACGTCACAATATGGCGCCCAGTCGGTCCTATTCTTAGTTGAATCGCATTGGAGTTTGACGGTTAGACGCGGAAAAAAACCTTATGTAATGTAAATTGTAGTGCTCATGCTATGGGGACAGGGATCTAGTCTACCACCACTTTAAAGTCCTTACTGAAATGAACTTATGTAAAATTTATATAGATTATAATGACCGCGTAAGTAAATCATTCATACTTTACTTATAAGACTTAACTGGTTATCGGGTACGAAAAATCAATACAAATAGATTTGAAATAAATTCAGACCAATGCAATGTAGTAACGTGTGTACGTTAAAGAAGAGGCAGGTGGATATGGTCTTGTGCTTTCATTTCTTTGCTACGGCACTTGGCAATAAAGCAAATGGGCTTAAAATTGATCAAGAAATACTAAAATCTACAGCTTTTAGTGCTTACTCTAAAACCAATACCATTTATAATGACTGAATGGCGCTTATCCTACGAATCACTTAGGAGGCTGAGCTAGGCTGCGAATAGTTTTATGGTAGCAAGTTTGCTGTGTTGTGGTTGTTGTTCATACTTTGACAATATAACGCAAGACTTATTTTATAATACAATTCGATTAGTTTGCGAATAAAAAATATTTCGTTCACCGACCGACAGTTTGAAACGTTCGTAGCTCAGCAAACATGAAAAAACTTCTTACCTGTCCTCGTAAGTCGGGGAGACGTCGCCGGAATCACCCTGAGACATGTCACCGTCCATATCAAGGTGGTTAGTTAACAATTCACAACGGGGACGGGATTCGCGGGTGTTCTCGGTACGCGAGAGCGAGCACGCGGAGTACACCAGTACGCACTACACGCGGGGACTGCACGTAGTGTGTTAAAAATTCGGCCGGCAAGAAGGCGCGGGCAGCGGGCAGAAGCGGAGCGGGGGCGTGGGAAAGCGGGGCCGCGATTCCCGCGCCCCTGCGTCGCCACAGCAACGCCGCCGCCGCGCCTCCGTTCGCCGGCCGGTCAACTTCTTGAGAACACGTGGACGTCAACTCAACGAAAAAATAAAAACGTGCCTCAGCCTCAGCTCAACAATTCTATTATACTGCCACGATAGATTTTACTGACCAAGCGACGCAAGTCAGATCATGCGAGCTGTTTGTGCTGCGAGCTTGAATGCGAATTTGATCCCCTAATAAAGTAAGATACTATATTATATAGTAGGGTTGGCAACTCTAATGGTGACATTTAATCGCCTTGGTACAAAGTATTTTAGCCAAAGCTTTCAGTTATTTTAATGTGTTTTGGTGAGCTTGAAATATAATGGGCTCATATTAACATATAATCCCGTGACCCTTGGGAAGTACTCGTGCCAAACCAGAGCCCTCTATGAAGAGCCGAAGGTTCAGGGTTAGGCCAAAAAAATAATTTAACAATCGGCCATCATGACTTAACAAAGTTGTATGAAGAAAATAATGGATCCTTTGAAAGTTGTGTCGATTCTGGCATGATTCTTTAAACGGAAACAAATTTGACAACAGTGTATCCTTGTCATTCTCTATACAGAATGAATAGGAGGGACTGATGATTAATTTAGTTTTAAGTTTAACGAATCATGCCAGAATTTACACGAATGTGCTTACTTAGTGAGAGCCACTATACACGTACACAGGCAGCTTGAAGCAGTCTGGAACTGCGGGCGACGACAAACTACAACTTCTTAAAAAAACAAATTGTATTTACACTTGTTTCACATAACTCAATAATATCTGTGAAATAGCAAAATAACCGACTTTTTGAATTTTTATTATTATCTCCAACATTTTTTTTTCACGCAATTAGGAGGAAACTTACCATATCCCAAACATGCTCTTACTTTTGATTTTATGTTGAAGAAGTTACCTATTTTCAAACGAAAAATCTGCCGTTGCAATACTTGCTTTTAAAAAAGTTGGTGACCCTTTTGTTCCTTTTGTACAAAAATGGAGTAACATGAAAATATTATAATAACTATCCAGTCGACGGTTGTTTGAATTCAACATTAAAAGGTGAGTTGTGGTTTTTTATTTATATTTAATATGAACATTAAAATAGTTTTTTTTTATATAGCCAGGTAGGCAAATTACCACCCCACCTGATGTTAAGTGGTGATAAAGTCCAATCGCGAAGATAGCTGGTACAGTAGGTATGAATCGTCTTAATGAGTTGAATTTAAACTCTTTCTAAGCTTAAGTTCTTCTTCTGAGTAGGAAACTGACTAACAGACATGTCCGCGCTCCGTCTGCGTCTTACGTCTTTTCTGTGTGTCCCGTGCCTTATACTACATGACTATACGACGCACCCCCCCGTGGATAAAAGGCATAAGTCATATTACGTTGAATTACCGATTTTACCATATTTGAAATCTGTGTTCATAGGACAGGTACATATGCTGTTTTTTTTTCATAATTTTCTTGATAAATTTAACGTTTTAATGCAAGAAATATTGTTTTATGAATTTAAACTACATGGTAATTTTTTAAGGATAATAAAATATATCCGCAATTCCGCAAAAAATAAAAAAAAGAACGTATCTTCGTATCGTATCGCAAAATAAAAAAATAAAGAGAACGTATCTTCGTATTGAACGTATCGTATGTCTACCAATCTCGTTAAGATGTAATGTAGAAAATAAACAGCAATAAATATGATACAAATCCGTTTCTTTCTTTACACCACTACTTTTGTATACTCGATTACGCTTTTTTTGTTGTGTCAACTACTAGGTAACTATTACAGCATAAATGCACTTAAATAAAAAAAACCGACTTCAAATTCGAAAATGGAACTAAAAAGTAAAAAGTAATATCTGAATCTTGACCCCGCCCGACTTCTAAATCATGAACAATATTTTTTCTACTTTTTTAGTTCTATTTTCGATTTTTAAGTCGGTTTTATTTTTTGTTTAAAAACATTTTATTTCATCCATTTAAGTGAAATTAAATCGACCAAGTAAACAAAAATGCTCATTAAATAAAAACTACTGGATCAAACAAAATATTTTTTTATGAATCTCCTATTAAACAAAAGAAGAATAACTCAAATTAGACCAGAAATCTTTAAGTAATCGGTGTACCTACATATAAACTAAATAAAATAATAACCAGAACTGCATTCACAGATTTTTTTTAAAATCGCCTGCTACAACTAGGAATCAAACTCGTGAAATTTCGAAAAAAAAAACGACATGTTTTATGGTAACCATCTGAAGCGGAGAGCTAGTGGAATGGAATATGAAGGCCAGGATTTGAATGCAATGGGTTTACTTACACTATTTTAAAGCAAGCAACCAAACAATATTAAAGCAGATGACAGGATCTAAGGAATCTAACATTATATTTTTTTAAATTATATTTAGTTCTTGCACCATTTCGTTTTTATATTAGTTTGTGTTAAATAATTTTAAATAAAACTTTAAAATTAATGACTATTCTTTCATTTAAAATACTATGTTATTTAGCAAAAAATAATCATTATGATTAACCCTTTCGATTGTTATCATAAAAAAGGCGTTATTTTTTCAAAATTTCACGAGGATTATTCCCAGTTGTAGCAGGCGATTTAAAAAAAACTGAATGCAGTTCTAGTTATGAATCAAAAATAAAATCATGTCTTCTATCAGTAAAATAGCCTATCTTCAATATTTAATATTCTTTCCCTCCGTGTGTGTATATATATGTGTGTGTGTGTGTGTGTACAGTATATACATGTATGTATGTACATATACATATTTCATTTACTAACTATAAGAGAAAGAGTGAAAGAAAATGTGCGCGCGCACTGCTTCTTTCTTTTGCTTATATCCCACACTTAACTCCCGTTCGCCTCGCCCGAACACACTTTTCGCAACGCATAACGCATTCGCCAGCTTACTAAGCTTAATAAGTTTCACTTCAATAAATAGAACATTTGCAGCTATTATGCCACACCGTAACAAGCTGCACAGGGAAGACCTATATCCGAACAGTGCGGGGACATTAATTTATAGGTAGATAAATATAAGGTTGATTCGGAATTACAATCAGCGTTGCCAGACGCCCCGATTTTGGCGAGACGTCCCGATTTTTAAATCAAAATAATCCAAAATCAAAATCGAGAATATAAATTAGCAAAAAAATCTTGGCAAAAACGCTGATTACAATTATATACTTAAAAGAAAAGATGAATCTATGAGACGTTTGAACTTTAATTCTGATTATTATATACCTCAGTCAGAATTATTTATTTATCATTTTAACGGTGGTATATGCTCTAAGTTTTAACGTTACGTTAAAGTTACGTTTTTTGTTTCTATTTATCTTTATATATATAATTCTTCTGTGAGTGTGTATGTCACTGAACTTCTCTTAAACGACTGGACCGATTTTGATGAAATTTTTTGTGTGTGTTCAAGGGGATCTGAGAATGGTTTAGATTCACAATTTTGTCCGCTGGACAACCCCTATTTTTTTAGGGCGGTACGAAGTTCGCTGGGTCAGCTAGTCTCTTAATAAAATGAAACTTAAATCTATTTATTTCTTTATAAAATGACATTTATATTTTGTTATTTTTTTATTCTGGCATTATTAATGATTTAATGAAGGTGTATGATTCCATGCTTCATAATTATGCTAAAGACAATCAAATAAACAGTCACAGTACGAATAAGTTCAAAAGTATTGACTTTTTGGAAAACCTTTTAACTTGTTTAGAATAGGGATTACGACGGGCTAAAGTAAATATTTTATTTAGAGTTAAGAAAATTTTACTAGAATCAAATATAACTGTAATTACATTTTCTTATAAATGTTTAATGCTTGTAAATGTAGATGAAACGGCCGTTCATGTGATCCTGGAATGCACGGGCGTTGCAGAACACTTCTTCAAGGTATCAATCCTCAGGAAACCGAGGACGCTCCTAGAAGAACCTCCTCCTCCTTTGAGAGCCCCAGGAGACTACTGCGCTTCTGGAAGGAGCTGGGCTGGCTGAGCTAGCTAGCCCAACATACCCTGCACGCACAATGGACCAAGTACGGAATCTACGTACGGAAACCGGGGCCCGCAATAAGTACTTGTAAAGGTATTCTTTGACATTGTGGGTTACCTACTATGCGAAGAGATAGCGCTGCCTTGCAGCTTAAGAAACACTAGAGAAAATACGACACGGCCATCAGGGCATAGGTAATGGTCAATGCATTCGCTCGGATAGCGAAAGGTGCGGGTTCGAGTTCTGTCTGCTGTCTGGTTCGCGTGGAATATTTTGTAGTAAAATTTTCTTTACATTTAAACATCTAGCAGTTAAATGTTAAAAAAAATATATATATTTAGTCCGTCAGTAAATAAAAGACACGTTTTTTCTTTGGTCAATCAATCAAAAAAAGACAAAGATAAAGCGCATCAAAATTTGGGATTGGGCCTCACGACGTCAAAATCTATACTAAAACGTGACATCAAGCGATATTTGAAACCAATAAATCTCTGTAATTTTATTTTTGTCATAACTAAACTTTGTTAGTCAGTACATGTATCACATAACAATGGTTCATGTACTGACAGTCAAAACGTTCCGAAAATAATTTCAGGCTGGTGTTCGGGCTGCCCGCACCCTGCGCACCAGGGATGCACACCGCTTGCGCATGGCTGTATAAAAATAGTCCACTCGGTATTCGGCAAACATTCCCCAAGCACTGCAATATGGGGGCAGCCCCAGCAACATCCTGATAGCATTATTAAACTGGACACGCAAGGCACTGTACTGCTTAATGTTGTAGTTTATCCATAGGCTGTTCGTGTAGAAGGACGTACAAAACGCTCTGAACAGAGTGATTTTTACATCCCTCGAACAGCAAGGAAACAGTGCCCTACACTCCCTCTCAATATCAGCATCGTCCCTCAGGTCAGACTTCACTAAGTGTTTAAATTGCTCTACTCTCTTCAAAGGCGTACCATTGAGTTTTATTGATGGAATATTATCGAGAGACTTCCCTCTAACCCGAAAGACCATACTTTCACTTTTCTTCACGTTGTATATCAG